ATACTTTTATGTTCAAATTAAACAGGACTTGAGTAGTGGCACTTTGGTAGTTTCTCCTTCATAAGATGGCTTCCATAAAAACTTTTATTTAATTTCTTGCCATTATTTTTTGCCTAAATATCCAAAGTGTTATTGCATTTTTGGCACTTGTCTTCATCGTATTAATAACTGTTCCACCGAGAAAAAGAGATTACCTGAAGCTCCTATATATTTTGTGTAAGATTGATCACCTCAAATGTAACCATCTTTACTTTATCCCAGAATGATACATCTCAAAATGATCTCAGATTTAATTCACACCTTGGGAGGGAAGCGGATTCTTCACAATATAAATGAATAGACCAATTGCTTGAAACGTTGACACAGCCACTGTTAATATTTTATTAAAATCCTAAGACATTCACTTAGTCTTGTATTTTAGGGGATTAGGGAGAAAATAATGGGAAGAAAAAAGAAATTTAGAAATAGATATGGATAGATGAAGGGGTCAAAATTTGGCAGAAGAAACTTAACCTGGGTAAATGTGAAGTTATTCATTTTGGTCAGAAAGCCAACTTATTATCAAAATGGAGAGAAACTTCACAGTGTTTCGGTGCAGAGGGATGTGGGTGTCCTCGTGCATGAAACACAGAAAATTATTATGCAGATACAGCAGGGAATAAGGAAGGCAAAATAGAATTTTGGCATTTATTGCTAAAGGAATAGAATATAAGAGTAGGGAAGTGCTGCTGCAACTTTACAAGGCATTAGTGAGAGCCCACATGGAATATTGCATACAGTTTTGGTCCCGGTACTTAAGGAGGGATGTAGTTGCCTTGGAATCAGCTAAAGGGAGGTTCACTTGATTGATTCTAGAGATTAGAGGTTTGATTTAGGAAGAGAGATCGAACAGTTTCAGCCCATACACTCTGGAGTTTAGAAGACTAAGAGATTTAATTGAGATATATAAGGTGCTACAGGGAATTGACAGAATAGCTATAGAAAGGATGTTTCCTCATGTGGGGCAACCTAGAATGAGAGATCATCATTTTAGGATAAGGAGGTAGCAGATTTAAAACAGAGATGAGGAGCAATCACTTCTCACAAAGGGTCATGAATCTGGAATTCATTACCCCAAAGTGTGGTGGATGCTGGGACATTGAGTAAATTTGAGGAAGAGCTAGACATTTTTAATCAGTAATGGGGTAAAGGTTATGGAGAGTGGAGTTGAGGCTGAGATGAGATCATCCATGATCATATTGAATGGTGGAGCAGGCTCAAGGGGCTGAATTGCCTGCTCCTACTTCTAGTTCTTATGTTCTAATGAAAATGTAGTTATTTTTATGAAAAATGTCATGGAAACATGTTGCTGAGCATTAGACAATGATCAAATGATTTATACCAGTGATGTGTAACTTCTAGTGTTTTAGGAATGTTCCTTGCAAGTAAGGGCTGAGTTTTCTAAAAATAGGGCTAAGTTTCAATTTCGGGGAGTTTAATGGAAGGTTATTCTCTGTGAGCCTTAGCATATTATCTCACAAAATTTACAGTTGGTGTAGTGAGAGGGAAAGAAAAACAGAAATCTTCTGAAGGCACATAGATTACATGGGTGACATGTCACTGTTAATAGAATATCATTTTCATAAATATATTGGCACTTTAAATCACTCCCTGTCATTTGGAGCTGCAGGTACAATCGTGAAGCTATTGAGGACGCCTGTCTATAGTGTCACTGTTGTTTCAAACAGTTATGTTAATATTAACTTTTACTATACAACAGGGAAACTGAGAAAAAATAAACAAAATAAATTTTAAAAAGCTGGATTTGCTTCTGGGACTAAACCGGGGCTGCTTGCTTTTTGAGTAACAACATATTCACAGTCAGCAAACAATGACTGCACCCAAATCAGATCAATTGGAAGTGGATGTCAGTTAAACCTTGACTGCTTTATTGTGTTTGACACTGCATTCCCCTCTTTGCCTGCTGCAGTTGTGCTGAGTATAACATGCTAGGATTATGCAGTGCACTCTGGCTAGTACTGCAAGCCCATTCCCCAGACTGTACAGTGTAGATACCTGGTTAATGTAATTTCCCCTTGAAAAGCAGTGATTTTTTTTCGCTCCCATTGCTGATTTGCAATTCGGACAAAGGTAGCAGGCAACACTTAAGTGAGTGAGTGCAGGGTCAGACCATCAGTTTAGGTGATATGCCAAACCTTCACGTTCCTTTCTTCCTTGCACTTCCTGAGGACTGCAATGGTTTTGAGCTTTCGCACATTCCCACCTGTCTCTCTGTTTTAGTTTTTACCCACCCCATACATACATACACGCACACGCACACGTACCGCCTGGGCCCTGGTTTTACAGCATTGTCATACCAGCAAAGCCAGGGCAGTGGAGACTGTTGTGACCCTCTCTCTTGCAGTGATCTGTGCCCTCCAAGGCTCTACCATCTCCCACTCCATTATATGTTGAGTTGACCCCCCCCTTTACAAAATTGTCCCCTCCACATTGCAGCAAGCTGTCTCCAATCCTTACAATTGACTTTGCCAATGTTTCCATGACCATCGTGACCCTGTTAGCCTCCCTTAACTTTCAGAGAAAGATCTGCCAGGACGACCATTACCCACTCCCCTAACCAGAATGGAAGGACGGCCCTAACTGACGAGTGACCAGGACCTTGACTGATCTTTGTGCAGCATGCCTACTGAGCACAGACCTGCATGACTGATCACGGCTCACTCCCCGATTGTAATGGTGCAGAATACCTGATTCAGAATGCACCATGCAGCTGACTGACTGTCTGGAAGCCCCTGACCAAGATCCAATGATGCCAGGACCAAAAACAGAAGTTGCTGGAAAAGCTCAGCAGGTCTGGCAGCAACTGTGAAGAAAAATATCAGAGTTAACGTTTCGGGGTCTGGTGACTGACTAAAGTGGGATGTTAGCCGCTGCCTCCCCCCCCCCTGCCGCCCTTGACATGACTGAGGGCTACTCCGCATAGCCTTTGAGATAAGGCCATTTGGTTACAGTATTTTGTAATGCATTTACCACATAGGCACATGGAATAGATGTGAATTTTCTGTAGCGCAGACGGTAGCATTGACTATTCATTGCTGGCAAACAGAAGAAGTTCCCTAGCTTTGTGTCTGTGCTAAAAGGCAAGGCAAGACAGATGTAATGTAAGCCTTTTAAAGTTCTGAATGCTGTGGCAATGCACAGAAAGGCATGACACATGTTGTAAGCATCCATATAAAGTGAGTGGACATTGAGAGCAAACTGAAAGTGCTGAGATGCGTCCTTTACCGAGTCATGACATAGGTGCCTGTCTCTGCTCTCAAAGTGACTCAGCAGCAGCATTTCAATGAAAGCTGTGAGCTCCGAATTGCAGCATTGAAGTGGTGAACTGTTCTGTAAGTGAGTTGGAGATGTGCCATGATGATGGGATGTATTCGATACCACCATCAGTGGACAGGGGAGAGGTTGGCAGGCAGTTACTGCCCATGAAGTGTGCCCTGAGGAGTGGGGAATGCTGGCAACGATGGAGACCCGGAGAAGATGGCGGTGAGCTGCACCAACCAGATTCCCATGGAGACTTTTATGTCGGAAATTGACTAATCTACTTTCTTTCCATTGTCCGGAAAAATGGCAACTTGAATATAAATGAGATGAGACCAGTTAATAAGGAGATGTTAATGCATGCAAATAGACCCCTCACATCTCACTACCAAGATTCTCATCTAGCCATTTAAACCTTCGGTGGAAAATTGGAATTTGTTTCTTGAGGTTGCGAATCTCATTTTCCTGTTCTCCCAATTCTTGCAAGGGGCTGAGGTGATGCTACCTGACTTTATAATAGTGAGGTAACAAGGTGTAGAGCTGGATGTACACGGCAGGCCAAGCAGCATCAGAGGAGCAGGAAAGCTGACGTTTCGGGTCTAGACCCTTCTTCAGAGCCAGCTCTACACCTTGTTATCTCAGATTCTCCAGCATCGGCATTTCCTACTATCTTTATAATAGTCAGTTTATTTCCCTGCATTCGTCTCCTTGACCTCAGAATAAGTGCCAAGCTTCAATTATCCATTCACTTGTTGTGGCTGTGACAAAGCTGAGAAATGTGCTTTCCTGGAAATTAAGAGTTTTTCTTAAAAATATGATTCAGTGTGAACGTATTTCTGCTGCAGGAGGATTTTACCAGGCACAGATGAAGTCCAGTTATTGCTGAAATTAACCCTTAATAAAGCATTGATTTGTGACGATACACTGAAGAAATCTGCTTCTTTGATCTAGTGGAATTTTCAGATTGTCTCACGGTCCAGGATAGTAGTTTTACCTTTTTACCTTTTGTCATTTTACAGCTATTTTAATCTTGTTGCATTTTTCCTTTTTCTGGAGGACATTTAGCTTACTTGATCTATGGTTGGACCTGTGATATTTTCCATGTATTTGTACAAATATTTTTGCTTTTTATTATTCTCCCTACTTGGACTCCCTCAACATCATAGTACAGTTCCAAAATCTGCTCCTGTTAAAGTATATTCCTCAACTATTCGGGATAATTACTGCTTTTTAGTTTCAGAACCGATCACTTATGGGCAGACTTATCCATTGTGGAGATGTCCTCCAACTGCCTTAAAATATTTAATGCTGAGGTAGATAATATTAGATATTGAGAGTCAAGATGTTGTCTGGGAATCCCAGATGTTATAACGCATGAGAAAATCCTATATAATTTGAATCTGACTGGCGATATATAAAACTCAGTTTCAAGATACAATTTGAACCCTCTTTAATGCGCTGCAGAATCTGACAAATAAAGTTAAAACAATGTTTATTTTAATGATTTTGGCTCAGTTGCAGCTATTTAAGTTAAATCCTAGCAGAACAATCGTTTATCCAGTTTATGGATCAAGATACAACGAGCGAAAAGGTAGACTAAAGTGTCTTGTGTTGTTTAGATGAGACTAAGCAAATTGATAATATAATGAGCATGTTTCTTTTGGCCTTTTTTTCCATTCTAGAGAAATGTAGAGAAGATACGATCTTTTACTTGGAAAATCTTTGAGCTGTTCAAAGTAGGTAATATTGATAGGTGCTAGAATTGAACCAGATGCAAACGAAGGTTTAACTGGATCTGCCTACAGCAGGAATGGCTTCAACCACAATTAATAAGCAATGGAGATTATAAACTGCCAGTGCTGAAGTAAAAGGAGAAAATGTTGGAGTTATATAGTTGACCATTCCTGTTTCTTAAAGAGAAAAGACAAGCTATCTTTCTAGAGGGAACCTTTAGTTAGAGCTCTTGGTCTTCTATAAAACTACCTTTATGTGTTTCCTTTCACATATTGATGGCCTATTGTTGATTTACTGTTGCATTATTTAATAAACAGCTGTCCTTAGCATTATATTACTACACAGTGAAGTAAATTAGTTCTTAAACCTTTACAGTACTTAATTATTATAACCTAATGTTACTAATAGCTCAGGGGCTGGGTAGGGGGTGGGAATGAGGTTACAGTGACACAGTAAGTTGCTGACAATTACAAACCAATGAAGTCTCAAGTCTGGTCCCTGAGTCTGCTTATTTCAGTTAGTTGCCCTCAACAGGGAAGAACATTTCACTGGGAACCAAATCCAAGTAACTCAGAAATAAAAGGTGCAGTTGAACAGAATGTTTGTTTTAAATAGCAGCAGACATTTGAGTCTTGAGGCCACTCCACAGGAGGCAGCCATCTGGTGAGCTGTGATTCCTGAATTGACTTATTGCCATGTAGGATTGAAGGAGTTGGGATAGATGCAATAATTGGCAAATTTACTTGTATTTAATGTGCTGGCAATGCCCACCAGGATAGCATGAATATTTTCCATTGGGTCAAATCTTCTGAATACTCAGAATTTAGCAGGGGTTGTTGCTTTTGTTCAAGGACCACAAGAGGCTCTTTGTGGTCTGTATCCTTTCCTATGAATGTTTGAAGGGAAGAATTCCTAGATATTGGTGAAGTGGGTGGATTGCAAGACAAGAATTTTTGCTTGAAATAAATCGCAAAAGCTTTCAAATTTTATTATTGGAATGAGCTTGGGGCCTGTGTAATGGAGATGAAACTGGATGCCTCTTCCTGCTTCTGCAATATCTCTGGAATTCAGAAATGTTTAATTGCACAGCTATACTGAAATGTATGAAAGGCAGAATCATTGTCAATCTTTATTGCAGCAATTTTGTTGTATGTTTTATGCACAATGTGCAGTTTTTCAGAGCCCTTAGGTGATGCCCGCTGCATAGTTTTACATCAAAAGTTCGTCTTTTGAAGATTTTGAAAGAATCTAATGAAACCTTTTGGCCTAAACATGGTAATGCAAATAGGAAAGCCACAACTATAATAATCCCTCTGAACTGTTCACATTGCTCAGAGAGCAGCTGATCATTGTGAAATATTTGCTGATATGGCTTCCCTTTTCTGCAAATATTGATGAGCAATGGCGTACAAGTTAAGTGATCTGTCATAGTTTAATATTCTCCTTAAATTTAAGAATGAAACGGAAGTTTCAAAATAATAAGTACCCTGAGACTGATTTTATTTTGTTTTCTACTTTTAGAGCTACGTTTCACCTTTGCAACTTAAAATGCCTCTGAAGAGCGCAAACCCAGGGAATGACGTTGATCCTGAATATGAAGAGAAAATGGTAAGACATAGTCTGAGAGTATGAAACCGTGAGACCTCCATTATCTGCCATCTTGTTCCCTCCCTATGATTTCCACTTATTCACCAGAATTTTATAGGACAAAATATTTTGCTTGACATCAGTCCCAATATTTAAGGAAGTTGGGGGAAGGGATGTAGCTTTGCCGTTGTGAGAAATTCGATTCCTGCCGAATTGAATGGCTAACGTTTCTCAAGTCTGTATCATGGCAGCAGTGAATCAATTGAGTCTGACCAGCGAGCAGACAGATGGGCCTCCCTTACTGTGCTGCAGCCAGGATGCTTAGAGGAGGAAGTGATGTATTGGACTTCTGAGTGGGAGGGGGCATGGACACAACGGAGGAGAACTAGCAAAGATCAGGTGGGGCTGGATGGGAGGTGGAGAGAGGTCGTAGAAAAGATGGGGGAGGGCAACAGATCTCTCACTCTGGGGATTTGTGGGGAGCTCCAGTCACTTGGGAGAATAGCAGTTTTACTTGGGAGCTGCAGCGGGAAAGCACTTTTGCTGTAATCTAACACTGAATTCCGAACTGTTTCATTTGAACTAATTAGCAATCAAACATTTCCTGGAGACAAAAATGACTCCTCTGATCTTTAGTTTGAATTGCTGATTAACAATTTTCCAGCAAAATTCTGCTGTGAAATAACAGGACCTGACTGCTGTGGCCCTGTTAAATGAAATTATTATGAGCTTTTGTCTTTTTTATATTGTTTTCATTCGTGTGTCTAGGCTACTTATTTAACACAAAACTTTAACACAGTTTGGTCATTGTCAGAGTTGGGGACAGAGGGTGATAAGGAGAAGGGAAAGCCCCCTCCATTGTTAGAGCTAATATTGGTTCCACCATATCTTACTGTTGAAGTTGGTTTTGTGCAAAGGAGAAGTTTTTAATGAAAATTATCTTTTTGACTTCCTTCACAACAGAAAATGGATCGGACCAAAAGATTTGAATTCCTTTTAAAACAGACTGAGCTGTTTGCACATTTCATCCAACCAGCTGCTCAGAAAACCCCATCATCTCCACTCAAGTTAAAACTAGGGAGACCTCGAACAAAACAAGATGAGAAGCAATCACTGCTTTCAGCTGGCGAGTAAGCATTCTGTTATTGATCAGTAGCTGGCATTTTTTCAAATTGTTTTAATTGTCTTTGCTTTTCTAGTGCTTGTTCACAGTTTGACTGATTTTGTGTGTCAGTACTTTTCGTCTCATCACAGTTTTCTTTAATTGAATTATAAGGATGTTGAACCCAATGATGTTTCTTCTTGTCAGAATGTACTTGTGTTGGACAAATTTCCATTACTCTGTGCTTTCTGTTCCCTACTTTATTTTGACTGAAAGGGGGTTTTCTAAGTTAGTTCCCAACTCTGATGGTCTGCATCTACCTGAAACAGTAAGCTATTTTACTCTTTTCAATTATTGATCAAACTGCTGCATATTTCCATGAGATCCGTTATTGACTGAAAAGAAAAACAAAAGGATGACTATAATTTTTATTTTAAAAATACCAATAATTGAACTATTGAAGTGGTGTAACTGTAGGCAGTGGACAGTTTTTATTGAGGTGGACTGTACTATTAGCTTTTGAACCCAATTGATGATATTGAGCGTTGCATGTAGCTGCAGTTTGTTCAGAAAAAAAAAAGCTGCATGAATAACAATGAGATTAATACTTGAGAAACATAACAGTTTCATTGGACTTTAGAATTGTAACAAAATCTTGAATGCTCATTTATTAAATTGACCAAACTAATAAGTCTGTTAGATTAAGATCTGGGTCATTCTACTCGCTAAGGGAGAGGCTCCTGTCAAGAAAACTAGCAACATGAATTGTGAGGAAATATGCAGAGAATATCTGTTGCAGATTTCTTTTGAAACCCCTGTGGGGCTTCAGTGAACTGCGACAAAAACTGAAGCTTATTGTCACAACCAGTAGAAGAACATTTATTTTGGTTGGATTTGTGTTAATATTAAAATTACATTGGAAAAATGCTACAGCAATGCTTATTGCTAATATTGCCCATGGTAATTTACATTTCTAAATAATTTTTCTCACAAGTCTCAGGATTTGGGTAGGGGATATCCGTACATCTCTGGACTTTGAGGAAGATGGGCCTATCATTTAGGTCTGTGTAACTGTTCCACTTGTATCTGATTACTATCATTGCTATAAACTATATGTTATTTTAAGACAAGAATCTCTTCTCATTAGATTGCTTAGTGGTTTTCTTCTACCACTTTAGATCAAGTAGATTCTGAAGATTTAGTCAGAAAAGGAGTTTGAGGCAACAATCTACACAGCCTCTGCTGGGTTGGCATCGCATGCTCCTAAAATGTGGAAAGCAGCAGTGCAGATAGGATTTTGGTTGAGTTGGACAGAACTAATTCCAGCGACCTTAGAGGAAATTTCGTATAAAGCTATAAGAGCAACTTGGGCAGACGGCAAGCAGCAGATTTTGTTTCAGTTCCTCAATGGTGCGAGGGCATTACTGCATTTATTGCCCATCCTTGTTGTCCTTGGAGAAGGTGGTGGGGAGCTGCCTTTTTGAACTGCTGCAGTCTATTTGTCAGAGGTAGATCCACAATGATGTTCGGACGGAATTCCAGGATTTTGACTTGGAAGAAATGACGATATATTTCCAAGTCAGGATGGTGAGTGCCTTGGAGGGAAATCGCAGATTGGTGCGAATGTTACATGCCACTTGTCAGCCCAAGTCAATTACAAACTTTACTGATTTTTGTCATCTGTGCAGTCTGGTTTTGATTTGAATGGAAATCATTTCAGCCATTGAATTGGGTGAAGACAGGTATCTGCAATGCTGAGGACCTCTGGAGGAGGTTGAGACAGATCATCCACTCGGCACTTATGGTTAAAGATTGTTACAAATACTTCAAACTTACCTTTGCACTGATATGCTGGACTTTCCCATTACTGAGGATGGAATATTTACAGATCCTCCTCCTCCAGTGAGTTGTTTAATTGTCCACCATCACCCACAGCTGGATGTAGTAGGACTGCAGAGCTCAGATCTGATCCATCTATTACTTGTTGCTTATACTATTTGGCATACAAGTAGCCCTGTTTGGTAGCTTCACCAGGTTGACGTCTCATTTTTAAGCTACCTGTTGCTGCTTTTCACATGTCCTTTTGCACTCTTTACTGAATCAGGGTTTATCCCCTGGCTTGATGGTATGATTTTACTGCTGTTCAATGCCTCATGGATGCCCATTCTTGAGTTGCTAGATCTGTTCGAAGTCTGTCCCATTTAGTATGTTGATGGTGCCACACAACACGACATAAAGTGGTACAGTATCAGTTTGAAGGTGGGACTTCATCTCCACAAGGATTGTGCAGTGGTCACTCTTACCAATAGTGCCATGGACACATGCACCTGCAGCTGGCAGTTTCAGGTTAAAATCAGATTAGCCGTGATTATATTGAATGGTGGAACAGGCTGGAAAGGCTGAGTGGCCTACTTTAGTTCCTTGTTCGTGTATTTGTGGTTGGCTGAAATGTTTTCTATTCATACTAATATTGAAGAGCACATGACAAAAATCAGGAAAGTTTGCAAGAACATGCAAATACTGAGAATGATAATGTGAACTCATTGATAGTTTTTTAACTGAACTAGTTTGGACAGCAACACAACCTGGCAAACAGGTTGTTTTAGAGATAGTAGGAACTGCAGATGCTGGAGAATCTGAGACAATAAGCTGCAGAGCTGGATGAACACAGCAGGCCAAGCAGCATCATAGGAGCAGGAAGGCTGACGTTTTGGGCCGAGACCCTTCATCAGAAATTGACAGATTTGAATTGAAAGTATGAGGCAACACATGTCTAACAGGATTATTTTAATTCTTTGTTTCCCGATGGACGTGGAGGGGGTTGGGGGGGGTTGTTGGTGAAAGTAAGAACCAAACTGAGTCAACATGTTGAAAAACAGAATCTGCATACTTCAGCACAGATTTGACGGCAGATTGAGAATAAAGATTTGCGCCTACAGATTGACGGTGGGCTGCATTAAACTCCATTGATGCCACTGCTGAAGTGACAGGTTCAGGACACCATCTGGCACAGATTCAGGATACTGTTGAGATGAAATTGTCCTGGCTTAGAAATCCACAGTATTGGAAAAAGTAAATACCTCTTTCATCAGGAAAGAGTTCCTTTGTGACAGAAATTCTCTAGATGAGAGAATCAATTAATTGCATGGTTGAGTAGGAACAATGTCCTCCATGAAGAACGTCAAAGGGATAGAGAACTTATGGGCTGCAGAACATAATCAAAGTCCTCGAGAGCCATGGATCTACAACCTTCCAAGTTTGAAGTGAACGAATTCTGAAAGCATTGTGAAATGTCCAGGACACCTGAATTTGTGAAGTCAGAGACTTTGGGCATGATAGGGTTATGGTAAATGTAAAAATGTGCACAATGAAGAAAAAAAAACTTGAGGGGAGATTTGGCATATGGTAAATGACCTGAAAAGGTTAATGCTGAAGTCTGTATTAAACTTCGTTCAATCTGATAATGTCATAAGGACTTGGGTAGAGAAAGGTAGCAAAGCTCTGGATCTCAAGAAAGGCAGAAGGATCATCTAGGTCTCTTGTTTGTCTCAGTGTCCATAACTTTTATGTGACTGCTGTCTTATTTCAGATAAGAACCTCCTCTTGTTTGCCATCATTGCTTAGACCATTGAGTATAGGAATTGGGAAGTTATGTGAGGTTTTGCAGGACGTTGGTGAGGCCTTTTCTGGAGTACTGCGTTCAGTTCTGGTTGCCCTGTTATAGGAAGTTATTATTAGATGTTATTATTAGACTGCCAAGTTTTTCTCAACCATTTTAGACCACGTAGTGCCTGTAGACCAAGTCGTAAGAGTGTAGAGTAGATAGCTACCCAACCATGCACTGGTTGATGTTACATGCTCATAAGACAAGAAGCCTACACTAAGGAGAATCATTCTGATTTTTCTGAGTGTAGTCAATTCATGGCCAGATAATATGGCTCTTGGAGCTGGCTGGCCAATCAGCGAAGGACCGATCAGAGGTGTTCCAGCTTGAAAGGAACAGTAGATTGCAGTGAAAACTTAGTAAGGGAATGGGGCGTTGTTTCACCAACACTTGTAAATGTAAAGTAGAAAATGTGTTTTGAAATCAGATTATAGCTGTTGTAGACATGGCCGTGGAGGGTTACTGGCTATTGTGGAGTACTGTGGAAGCTACCCACAGTCTAGATGGACAGGGCCGGCCTCTCAGCCTGCCTGGAGTGCTGGGCCTATTGCTCACCTATGCGAGGTGTCTTCAGGGAATGAAACATGCAGTAGGCTGGAACTTGAAGCCTCCTTTAACAGATTTCATTAGCCCTTAATTAGCTGGACCTGCTGTGTACGGGTGTGTGACCCTGCCTTATACATGCCCCCCACCCCTACACTGCCTCTGTGAAAAATAGCCTGGCGGGGGGGGCAAGGTGGAGTTAATGAACTGGCAAGTTCCTGGGGCTGGGAGGAGGGCAGTTAATGCCCATCTCCCTCTGCGCCTGGCCCTAGTGAGGGCTCAAAATCTTGCACTGGCTGTCTCTTTGGCATTGTCTTGGCTATAGCTATTTCATGACCTTTGGATTAGTTTTAACAATTCAGTTTATTCAAACGTAGAGATAGTAGGAACTGCAGATAACAAGGTGTAGAGCTGGATGAACACAGCTGTCTCTTCTCCACCTATCTTCTCTTTTATCCATCTTCTATCCGCCTCTCCCTTTCTCCCTATTTATTTCAGAATCCCCTTCCCCTCCCCCATAGAAAGCAAAGAGTAGGGGTAAATGGGTGTTTTTCTGGTTGGCGGTCAGTGGCTAGTGGTGTGCCTCAGGGATCAGTGTTGGGACCTAAATTGTTTACAATTTACATAGATGATTTGGAGTTGGGGACTAAGTGTGGTGTGTCAAAATTTGCAGATGACAGTAAGGTGAGTGGTAGAGCAAAGTGTGCAGAAGACACTGAAAGTCTGCAGAGGGATATAGATAGTCTAAGTGAGTGGGCAAAGGTCTGGCAGATGGAGTACAATGTTGGTAAGTGTGAGGTCATCCATTTTGGTAGGAATAA